CGCGCCTCTAAGCCTCGATACTCACCATTTTTAATATATTGGTTCCAACATATATTATAGAGTGCGGGCCACGTGCCCCCGGGCCTTCATTGGGATAACCAAATAACTTTACTCAATGATCAATGATGGAGAAGTTGGCATAACTTGCTATAAAATAATAATTAATTGAAATATATATTTATAAAGAACGTTTGAAAAGTTTAATTATTATCTAATTACTCATAAATGTATTTATAGAGGCTATCACGTTTAAAATTTTTAATTATTAATTATGTAATGTATTTAATTAATATATAATTTATGTTTTAACTTTGGCCATTATGCGAAAAATAAGAAAAACAAAATTCAAAATTTATCTAAAGTAAAAACATTTTGTTAAAAAAGTTATAAATATTTAAATTTCATTCAAAAAAATAATTTTTTTTTTTAGTTTAGGACTTTAAATTCCATGACACAAGTAGTTTTGGTTTTTAAATAAAGATTAATTCTTCAATAATGCTTTGTTCGGTAACAATGAAAAAAATTGGCGTATGCAGTTCACTTGAACAATAGGCGATCAGCGATGAAAAAGAAGTTGCAGAGACTACAGACAATCCGATATAGTGATATGCGGTGTATGCTGATATGGGTTTTGAACTTTTGATTCTCACAGTTACAGAGGCTAGAGAGAGATATAGAGAAAAACATGCATATTTGGTTTATAACATTGAAAACAGTTCTCAAGAATTCAAAAAATAGAAAACTATTTTCAAAGAACTATAAAAGATAGTTATCTAAAAACATGCCTTTTATAACTGAGTTTTCAGAAAACAGTTTTCAGAATACTTAATCGAGCAGAATTTTTTGTACATTTTTCAATCTTCTAAAGCAGAATTTTTTGTACAGTTTTCTGTTTTCAATTTTCTGAAAACAGAAAATTTTGACATTGAACTAACTCATTCTTTTAGCAATGACTTCATGTGTCTATTGTTAGTGGATATAGGAACATGCATGTGAATGATGATATGATATATATGATCCTATAGAGATGAGCTTAAAATGGATTCATAAATACTTTGACATTGAATCCTAAATAGATACCATACTATTTACCCATTTCTTCAAGCTTTGTCCATATATAATTGTTTAGGCTTTGAAGTACTCTTGCTTTCTTCTAATTTCTTTGAGTTGCTTGTTTACTCATTAATTGTAGTCCAAGCTATCTTTGGATGGACTTGCATTTGGTTCCTTGCAAATTCATGTCTCTTTGTATTCATTCTTTTCCATTGATGTGATCTTTATTGTTTCATTGAGGTTATTTTTTGAAAATGAATCATCTATAACACTCAATGTATATAATTAAACATTAGTCCACAAACACCATTAATGATTTGTAATCATCAAAATCACTAGATTGTCTTTGGTTAAAGGTTTTGTGCCAACAAAATCCTACGTACTTTTAAGATCTTTTATTCCATTTAATTCATAAATTACTAAATCTTTTATTTATACCCTTACTAAATAGAAGTAAAATTTTGTAGTTGTAAATTTATTCAAGATTTGATATATTATCTATATTTTTTATTAAATCTTTAATTTTTAATTACTTAAAAATATTGCATTATGGATATATATATATATATATTATCTATAAATATTGCATTATATATATATATATATATATATATATATATATATATATATAATGATTAATTTAAATTCAATATAAGAATGTTTGGTACATTTTTTTTTAAATCTTTTCTATATGAAAAAGAATGGTATTTAAAAAGGGTCAAATTTAAAGGAAATGCCATTTTGGAGTTTTATTAACAATTAATTAATTTGCTTAGGGATTTGGTGTTCAAAGCCCCTTATTTAGGAATTACAAAAACTAAATAAATAAATTAATAATAATAGTTAACAAAGATATCATAATTGCTATGAAAACAAATTTGTTACAAAAATGGCATTTCGCCACAAGGATTGAAAATTCATGGCAAAATAGTTCCTAATTGCCACGAAAACAAATTCATTGCAAAAATGGCATTTCGCCACAAGGATTGAAAATTCGTGGCAAAAGATACAATTTGCCACGAATAAAGCATCGTTGCGATTATCTAATAGATTTGACACCAAAATATTTTTGTGGCAATAGAGCATATCATAGCCACAACTAATAATTCGTGGCAAAATCCATCTTTTAGCCACGAGAAAAAACCTTCGTGCCAAAAAATTATATTTGCCACAAGAATAACATCGTGGCAAATTGTAAAGTGATTTGCCACGAAAATATATACGTGGCAAAAGAAACATATAATTGCCACGAATACAAATTCGTGGCACATATAGCATTTTGCCACAACTTTGTATGTTGTCCCTAATTCGTCGTGGCAAAATTGACATTTTACCACAAATTTTTAGGTTGTCCCTAATATTCGTGGCAAAAACTAGTATTTGCCACGAAAAATTTACTTTGTGTTAATTTTGTGGCCAAAAGATATTTTTTGCCACAAAATTTTACGTGTGGCAAAAAATTTCGTGGCAAGAGCCCAAATTTGTTGTAGTGTTGGGAAGTCCAAATTCCACAACAGTATTCATGGAACAGGAGGAAAATCCTCCAGCTCAGCCAGCATTCAGACCTTTTGTCAAGATATAAATTGGGGATGGAAAGATGTCTAATTTTTGGTTTGAAAATTGGTGCTCCCTCAGCCTTTTCACCAACTTATTTCACCCTAACAGCTTATTGAATTGCCACATGATAACACTACCGAAGTTAACTGTTTCATCACCAACTTAGCATGGTTATTCCCACCATCCATCACCACTGCACTATTTCAGCTACTAAACCACAACTTACTGCCTTCACCTTGCCCCTACAAGTAAGACAAACTCAGCTGGATCCCATCCCCAAATGGTGAATTCTAAATTACACACACTATGAAACACCTTGGCCAACATTTACCAACCTTACCATGGACACATTTGGTATGGTCTAGGCCAATCATTCCTAAGCACTCCTTCACACTCTAGGTAGCTATCAAACAGAGATTACCAACATTAAATAAGGAACATTAATGTACTTTTCACATTAACTCAACCATCTGTGTTCTTTGTCATGAGGATCTTGAATGCCACAACCACCTATTCTTCACTTGTTCCTATGTCAAACCTTTGTGGACAATTCTTCAAATACGTTGCGGGTTCCACATTCAACCACCAAATTGGGCTAGCCTTGTTTCATAGATCGCACACCATTGGAGAGAAGATAATTCCAATCATAGTAGCTCGATAACCAGATTGGCGCTTTCTTCCCTTGTCTACAATGTTTGGAACGAGCGTAATAGGAGGATTTTCAAGAAGAAATCATTATCACAAAACTCTATCCTCCATCGCACTCTTGATATGGTTAGAGTTAAGCTTGCTAGCCTTCCCATCTCGAACTCCATTAATGGGGAGCAAATTGCCAAGCAGTGGGACCTTCCCATGCCTCCCATTCGTCCGCCGGCAAAACCACCAGATAAGTGATTATGGAGTTTAATCTCCTTACTCTCACCGAATCGTGGAGTTTGGCATTTGTCTTTCTCCCTTTGATTTCTCTGTTACAGTTGGAATCCTTTGGCAGCTTGTTGGGCTACAATGTATCTTTTAGCTTGGGCCTTTTCACCTTAAGCTGTATATCTTATCCTCTTTTATCAATAAAATTGAATTTAATCTTTCAAAAAAAAAAAAAAAAACTCAATTATAATTTTGTTGAATTTAAAATAATTTTGTTTAGTTAAATTCATTGTTTTTTTTCTAATCTTTCATCTAGGTATATCTTTTCCAAGTAAAATTAAAATACTCAATTTTTTTTTTTTTTTTTTTTTTTTACAAAAGTGAGATTTTTGAAAAACTGAAACAATTGAAAGAGGAAATTGATTCTTTAACAATGATTATATCTTTACCTTGCCTCTTTTTAATTTTAACTTATCTTTTCTATATTTTTCAATTTAATATTAGTTTTTTGTCTATTATTATATTGTATTTTTCTTATTTTTGGATTTTCTCAAGTACATATACTATGACTAGTATTTAAACAAAATTATATTACAAATGATTTATAATTTTTTTTAAATTTTAGTTACATAGTATAAATCCGGCCCCTCAACCTCAAATTTCTAGCTCCGTACCTGAACATCATAATGATGTCAACCACCACTGACATAAATCAATCGAATTTGTCCAATTTTCGGACTCCAAATCATCATCCAATGATTAATACTTTAATTTTCAAGTTTATGTGTGTGGTTCTTTTTTGGGCAATATAGAAATATATATATATATATAGGTCAACTTCAGTTGCTTTGTTTGGTTAGATGGAAATAGCAAGAAAGGAAAAGAAATGGAAAATGAAAAGAAAAGTGAAGCGAGTGAAAAGAAAAGTGATTTTCTAGTAAGTATTTGGTTAGGATTAAAATTTCTTCAAGAAAATTGTAGAAAAATATCATATTATAATTTAGATACCTAAATTACCCTTAGTTTATAAAATAATAAAAAATTAGTAATAAAATGTATTAAAAAATGAAAAAGTTTTTAATTAATTTAGACCTTTTGGATTACTATTATTCATATATGATGAAAAATAACTAGGAATGGAAGTCAAGTTAATTAAAAATTTATCAATGATAAAGTTATTAGTAGATTCCAATTCTTTGAAACCTAGTAAAAAATTGTTGTTATTTCCAAATATAATATGAAGTTGTTGGGTAAAATAATATCAATGAAGTTATTGGGTAAAATAGGAATACTAGATAAAAAGATATTCTTTCACGGGAAAATAAAATTTCCCTGTGAAAGAAACATTTTGGAGAAAATAAAGGGTCACAAGAATCCTAATTTTCTAGATCTTTTCCTTTTCTATCTAACCAAATTATAAAAAAGTTTTAAAATTTTTTTATTTCCTTTCTTTTTCCGTTGATTCCATCTGACCAAACCAAGCCGTAGGTCCCCTGAATCCCAATACACTGATCATTAATACACGGTTTTGATGTACAAAATATTCCATCTTCAACATACTAATAAGAACAGTTGTACATATTTACACAAAAAAAACATAAAGTAAAAAGCAGACTGTAGTTTTGCTCTTCATGCAGTAAATTCCATTATCCTATAACATCAAGCAACACTCTTTGTCAAACCTCGGCTTTCCCACACACAAAAAGAAGTGAAGAAGAAAGAAAGAAAAAATTAAAAGTGGCAATATATAGAGACACTCCTCTTCCTCCGAGAAAAAAGAGACAAAAGTATATATGTGACCTTAATTTCTCCAATCAAGGACAACTTTTGAAAATACTAATGTGCAACAAGATCCATTGATCATGCTTCTTGTCGATCCAATCCGAGTTTTTCCCAACATGTCAAAATCATTCTCCTCCCTCTACCTCATTTTTTTTTTTTTTTTTTTCAACATCCCAAGAAATTAAACACAACATCTCAGTGTCATGTCCAGAGATCTTATGCCAACTTAACTACTCGCACATGGATATATGATCCTTATCTCATAATTTTCATAAATACTTTTAGCTGATATTATATATTTACTGTAATCCATCACAAGGGTTGGCAATGCCTAATTTGTAGAAAAAGTGGTGCAGGTCTGAGGAGATCCAGGTGCTGCAGGCATCCTAGAAGAAGCATTATTGTTACGTGCAGCGTCGCTGCTAGGGCTGCAGTACTCACCATGGTTTGATCCGATAATTGATGAAATGGCTGACGTTAGAGCTGCCGTGAGGTTAGGGTCAGTGGAAATAGCTGCAGTAATGGTCTCCACCATGGAAGGGTGCGAATACGGGGCTTGCATTGGTGGCAGCATTTGCAGTGCCCTAGACGGGATGTACATCGGATGCCCTATGAGTTGTGGCCCTTGTGGGGTAGGAAAATGGAAGGATGGATGAGGTAGTGAATGTGGTATTTGGAACTGTGTGTGGTTTGGGGTGCGAGTTAGGTCGAGTGTGATTGTGGGAAATGGTGCATTAGTGTATAGGGTGGCCATGGAGGTGTAAGGTGGGAAGAAGGGTGAGTTTCGGAGTGCACTGTTGCTAGTGGTTGAGCCGGAGAGGAGCATTGTTGCTGCTGCTGATGTTGTGCTGGCTAGGGCTGTTGCTGCAGGTGGGAGTGGGTGATTATGGGTTCCTTCATAGGTTGTTACAAGAATGCTTTTGTCCTCTGCACATCTTTGTACCTATATCAAGATCGATAAACACCAACAAAGTTAGGGCAATATTTAACCTATTATAGTGAGGAGTGAGGATGATAATGAATGGAAATTAGTTCAGATGGTATGATCTCTCATTTCCAGAGGGGAGGTAGAGTGTTCGAGCTTGTTATGGGAATGTTGAGTGTTCGAGCCTGTTAGGGGAAATATTGTGTGTGTGAAGGTGCATTTACTCGTCCCGGAAAAGAAAATTAAATGATATTATATATGCATGGCCATATATAAAATTGCCATTGAAAAGTATGCAACCATGCAGTACTATTGGTTTGCTTGTATAATAAATTAGGGTTCACTAAGGGTCATATCTAAGGAAACAACATGTATTTAAATAAGCATGCGTGATTGGATTATACATTAATATTTGCAATAATGGTATGTCAGCTTAAAAGAATGCTGGATTGCTCGCTGTAACAAAGATTTAAGATGGAAGATGACTATATGTTCATGAGAATGATTCGAACCTGTTTTCGAACTGGGCATCCAGTAGCCATGGTGCAACGATAATAAGCGCGTGGACAAGGGTTGTTTTTCGCCATCTTTTGACCATATTTCCTCCATTGACATCCATCACTTATCTAAACCATCCCAAAAATACTCCAATTTTAGTGAAAATGAATTCGGAATAACTCAACCCTAGCTACATTAATACACACTGCAGCAAAAGCGAAGAACATATATATACAGGAAAAAGCTTACTAAAGGTGCATCGGACCGAGCTCTTATGGACACCCTTGCCTTCTTACATGGTCCCTCATTAGGAACTTGCTCTTCTACACTCTTAGGTTCTCCCATCTTGACACTCCTCTGAGTCTGCAGCACCCGATGCTGCTGCGATTTTTCGTTGACTCCATCGCCTTCTACAGACTCTTCTTTCCTCCCAATTTGAAGATTCATGTAGTCATGGACGTCCCTTTCCATTGACATTGTGTCCATGTTGTGTGTTGGGCTTGTCATGATGATCTCATTTGATTGTGAAGGCTCATGAGTGACATTATGATCAATTGCAGTACCGAATGGATTTTGGTCCATGAACTGCTGCATGGACATTGTTGGACATGACATGTGGTTGTTATTCTCCTTCTGATCATTAAACCACACAGCTAAGAAATTAATTAGTTTGAATAGTAGATACAGATTAAGAGAACCTGGAAATATATATATATAGCTACTAACCTTATCTAACATATTGACTATTGACTTTGTGAGTTGTAATCTCATGCAAGTTGGTGATAAGGAACTGTGGACCCCTAATAGACTCGACTTAATAGGATGAGATGAACTAGAATCCCCTCCACCCCATCAGGAAGGGAAAAAAAAAAAAGCAAAGATGTTCTAGAAGAAGTTTATATATATATATATATATATATATATATATATATATCAAAGGGCTGTTGATTTTAAATCTAGAGGTTACTGGTATTTTGGCAATTTATGTTTTCTCAGAACACATCTTACTGAACTAACATTTTAATAGTCAAGAACAATTTATATATTTATAATTGCAAAGAATTATAGTTAAAGAAGTACTGATTTGAATAGGGGTGACATTGGACCATACTGAATTTATATTTTTATTGCAATGAATTGCATGTATTGGGAAGAAGCATGAAAATCATTAAATTAATTTTGCAAACGATCATCAATAGACACTACTCAAGGTTTATGTATTCCCCAATTCAGTTTCGGATAAAATCTTCCATTTTTTTTTTTGTGTTTGAAACTCGATTGAGATCGATTTGATCTAGACTAGCTTAGACTTATATCATATGTCCATGCATGTAGTTCCAATTGATTAAGTAATTAATTAATTAATTTTTTTTTTCGGTAATTAATTAATTAATTAATATTGCAGTTAAGGCAATCAAAAAAGGTCAAAAAATTAACCTGCTCATGATGATTGTTGTCACAGGCCTGTTGTTGCATTGCCCATTGTAGCTGAGAATGGAGAGCAGTGTAATTCTTGGTAAGCTGATCCAACATGCTCCTCAGATTCCGGTTTTCATCCTTCAATTTCTCTAGCTTCACCCTTAATATTGCACTAGTCTACCCATAAATAAAAAAATAAAAAAATAAAAATAAAAATAAAAATGAACCAACAAATATATATATATATATATAAAACCATCCTTTGGCAATATTATGATCTTATGTAAGCTTGATTTAATATATATATATATATATATCTGAAATTAAGGAGAGAGAACTCACTTGGGTTATGGGTTTCTCTTCATCTTTACACTGATGTATTCCAAAATCCAAGGGAACAAAAACTGATTTAGTCTGCACAAATATCATCCCAAACAAAATAATATTTAGAGAAAAACTATAGAACATAACATGAAGTACATGATCTAGCTGCAAACTAATTAAAGATATGTAAAAGATCGAGCATAAACTATATATATATATATATATATATATATATATATGAGAATTAAGCCACATACATCTGTGTTGGGAGTCAGCAGTACTGATGTTACATTAACCTTGGTTTCAAGCTGATCATGATCATCCGGCGGCGGCCGACCGTCTGATCTTTTGACTTCGACTTTCTGATGGCTACCAGAAAAGAAGTCTATCTCGTTAATCATGTTTCTGATCTAATTCTTTGTCTCCTGATCGATCGGAGATATTGGTGGAGTACTAAATATATATGAAGTGTGAGAGAGAGGGATGTGATCGATATTTGATCTATTGAGAATGAAGAGAGAAGAGAGAGTGAGCAGTTTATGAAATCAGGCATAGACTGCTTAGACTAGACTTGAATATTATTTGTATGGCACACTATTTCTAATATAATTTAATTTATAGTATACGTAAGTATGTCATGGTGTTGACCTCATTGCTACTTTATTTTCATCATCTTTATTGTAATCATCAACTTGCAGCATTAAAAATATATATATATATATATATATGAAGAAGAAAATAATACGGAGTAATTGTTATTTTTTAAAAAAATTTGATATATATAAAATTTTGATAGTTCTATTCCAATATTATCAGTCATAAAATGGTGAGTCACTTGATTTGATATTTACATATTATCGAACCTTTAATATAATAATAATGCTACTTTTTTTTTGTGATAATTAATTATTACCAAAATTTATTATGTACCCATTTAACATTATATGATCATATGTATAAATTTTATAAATTAAAATTAAATTTTACAGAATTACTAAATGATGAAGTGCTTTTTTTTTTTTCTTTTCCAATTGGATTAATTTTTATTCATTCAATTTAATTCTTAAAATCAAATAAAGTGCATAGATCAAGTGGTTGAATAGTTTATGAAGTTTGATGAGATATTTTCCCTCCTGTGGTCTTGGTCCATGTAAATAAAATAAGACAAGAGTCTAGAACCACTAAAAATTTAGTTGACGTATATCAGAAAAAGCTTTTGTGATAAGCATTATTTTCTCTCATTATAAGAGCTCTCTCTCTAATCTATCCATAATATCTTTTTTTTTTATTATTATTATTATCTATTTTTTTGACAAATTAAGGAAAGGGGTACTTGAACACGGGCACAATTGAACTAAATCAAAGTGAACCTTACTCGGTGAGATTCAACCGTCCAAATAAAGAATTAACTGTTACAAATAATGAAGAAACTAGTAGATTTAGACGGGAAGCAACGGGGAGCGAGGCACTATACCAACTAGAACACATTGGGTGATGATCCTAGTAGTTATACTGTTATATGATGTTACTTGATTACTCAATTCAGCACTTAATTCTGAATGTATTCAACGCTTATTCAATTAAGTGTATTTGATAACACACTTTGAACATCTAAAAATGATAATCGCCATTTAAAATGGGGTAAAATTTTAATTGAAATAGATATATTTTATTATTGAATGCTAAACGCAGAAAATTAAAAAAGATTTCAAAAAATATTTATTTTTAAATTATTACTTAAAAACTTCTGCACTTAAAACTCACAACGGTGCTGTTTTATAAAATTAAATACTCAAAATTTTAATAGTTAAGGTGTTGTTTGGTAAAACTGAAAATTAAAACTAAAAATTTCAAATAATGAATTTTAAGTGCACACTATATTAATCTGAAAACCTTTTTGATTCTGTATTAATTTTAAGCACTGAATTCATTAAGATTGTTTGTTAAATGTAAAAGCCGAAATCTGAATGTTGTATATATTACATTTTTGTCTTGAATGCCTTCTACACATAATATTATTATAAAAGATATTATATTAAAATATAAACACACACACACACACACATATATATAAAATAATGAATTTCACCAAAGAAACATATTAATTTAACAATGGATATTAATGTCAAAACTAATCATAAAAAATCCAAAATCAAAATATAAAATGAATAACTTATGAAAATACTGAAATATTTATGAGAAGGAGATTAGTATTTACGCACAAATTATTCAATTTTATTTTATATTGTACTTTTGCATAATAACAATGGTGAGAGAGTTTCTTTGTATGATTGTTGATTATAAACTTGAATGAACTATGCAGTGTGTGTGTACACACACACATATATATATATATACATATATATTGTTCAGTATTATTTATATTTATATTATTTGAGAAGAAAAGTACAATGAAATTTTTAAGAAATTAGAGTAAACTAAAAATAAAAATCCATTGCAAAGTGAAAATAGAGACTCAATCAATTGGCTTAATTTGAAGAGTACAATAAGTGATTGAAAAGCTAAAATATAATATTTGACAATAACATTGTCATTAAAAAAATATTTTAGGACTTAAAATCACTTATCATTTTTCGATAAGCAGTTCCGTCTGGCTTAAAATATTAGCCTAGTAATATTTTAAATGTTAGCCTAAATGATTATCTAATTTTAAATAATCGTCGGTTCTTTGTTAAGGCACTGAATAGCGGTATCAATGTCGTTGGATTAATTTAGCATTCAATTTTACATTTGAAATTTAGGTACATACATCAAAGGGTCAAACACTTTAAATCATTCAAAATTTTGTGTTGGCCTAATATTTAAATTCTACTTGTAGCGCGTATGATTTATGATGAATTGAAATTTAGTAGAACTAAAAGAATTTGTGATGTCCAAATTAAACAACAATTATTGTTTTTCCATTTTCAGTCAAGATAATATTTTAAAAAATAAGAATAATTATAATAATGTTGTCAGATGGGAACAAATTCAAAATTTAAATAAAGAAAAGAAAAAATAATTCTATTTAGAGCGATTTGTTTAGTGAAGAGGTCTAGCGGAAAGAATTTTATCCGTGGATAATATCAAGCGTTAATTTCAACGGTTATGCAAATGGGTTTGACAAATACTTATTTTCCCAAAAAAAAAAGAAAAACAAAAAACAAAACTTTCTCTTATTGAAATTACACATACCCTCTTTTAGGCTAAAAAAGAAAAAGTTAGGGTATGGAACCCGAATGATTTATTTTAAAATTTAAAAAATGGCAAATGACAGGTGGCTAAAGCCTCATGTCGAAACGTGGCAGCCCGTGAATTTCGGCCTGCATACAAAATCTAATCATTTGTAAATATTTTTGGTAAATATCAAATCAAATCATATTAATTAATTAATTAAAGAGTTTTACACGCGTGTGCGTTCTTTAGGTCAACAGAAAACGTTGCACCGCTAGTCCATGGGTCCCATGGGTTCAACACCTAATACCATTGACCCTCATCATGCCACGTCATTTGATCTTCCCCTATCAAACAACAACCCTCTCATAAATTTTTAACTAAAAAAACAAACAAGCCTCTCATAAATTGCTTTCGGTTCGTACTTCACAGTCAATACTATTCTAACGCCTCATTAACCTTAAATATATATGATAGAAAAAAAAAAAATCATAAAATATCACTTTATTATAAAATGAATAGTACTACGCTTTATTTAGAATCAATTATTTTAGAATTTAAAAAAAAATGGAAATTAAAATAAGAATTGGAATTAAAATAAAATTCCTTTATATGTTTGGAACAAATTAAATTTAAAATAAAATTTGGAATAAAAATAATATTACACCATTTTTGCCGTTGGGTTGTTACGGTTCTACTTGTTTTTATTTTTAAAAAATCATTTGCACAACTTCAAATTTCTCCAAGATTTTATTTATTTATAGGACATAATGGTCAAACTTTATCTTTTTAATTAAGTGAGTATCATCAGATACAACTTTAACATGGAACGGCATAACTAAAAATAACTTAATTTTTTAAAATATATATATAATAGAAAAAAGTGAAAAGAAAAAAATTTAGTCACCCTAAAATAAAGATAAAGATGATGAGGACGAGTATCATTATATACAAATACAACTAATAAAGATCAATATGCACACAGTTAAAACGGTTCAGAATATTCTAATGTATAGCAAAATTCTAAATGAAAGTTCGGTATCGGTTCCATAATACATGCACCATTCTAATCAGAAATGCGATTTGAAAACAAAACTTTAAGGATTTATCTTCCGAATCCTATCAACATGCTGTACCGGAGATAGTTTTTTCTTTTGGTTTGGTGGCTCTGAATAGTATATTCATAGCATAAGTATAGACTAGGTTAATTTATACTATGTCAAATGAGAACATGCCAAATATTTTTGTTGAATTTGGGGTATGATAACAAGAAAAAATGAACACAAAAGAATAAAACCATAAATACCAAAATGGAGAATTATAGTCTTCTACATTGCTGACACAATTGATAAGAAAGAAAAGCATAACCAAGGAAAATATATGATAGGAAATGGTCTACAGATTCAGAAGGAAAAAATAACAATACTAATTAAGAAAAAGACAGATGGAAAAAATCAGATACAAAAACAAAAAAACTTTTTCGATGTCTTAATGTTATGTTCATATATACAAAATAATGATCATCCATCTTTTTTTTATTCAACTAATAAAATGGCACACATAATTATTGTTACTATACACGCCATATGAACAAATTACTCTACTCGATTGAAATAAAGACAAAAATACTGATATAGAACTCTGATACACAATCTAAACTCCTTCACTTTATTATATCATGTGAATGGAGAGCATTCGATTTCCCGCCATTTGTTTTGACTCTTCCATGGAAAGAATCATTTTTTGAATGATATATGAACAAATTACAAGCATAAAATCCTCATTATCCTGAATTGCGTTTATTTTATTTTATTTTTTTTAATTTCTTGGGACGCTCTCGAACTCTCTTAATTATGATAGACTAATACTTAACTTTTAAAGTGTCGTTTGTGTGTGTGTGTGTGTGTGTGAGTGAGAGAGATAGGGGGAGGGAGGGGAGATCAATTTAAGTGGTCAATATGATGGTGAAAGTTTGGTCATGAATTGTAGTGAATATATATTTTTTTGGGGTGAGGTTAATTTGTAGTTATAGTATCGATTATGGTGTAACGAATTCAAATGAATATTAATATAAATTGATCGAATCGATTAATTCATAAAAATATATAACAATATCAGACTTTTAAGAAAGAATTACAAACTGATGAATATATTGCGTCGGCCGCTGTCACCAACTTATTATTAATAAAAAGAAAAAATCCGAAGTCTATGATCTACTCTCCATGTGAAGGGGGTATCGACTTTGTCAAATGCCAGCATAAATGAAAGGTACTGCGATTCTTTAGTTTTTCTTTCTCAATCAAAGACTTGACGAAAAAGGTACGTACCCATAGAAATAAAGGACACAATCATTATTATAAGCTACACGAAGCAACCTTGTATTATTGTACTATCATTTGAAATCACTGTACATTCAAA